AAGAACGACAAAAACAGGAAAAAACATTCAAAATGAACAAAAAGCTCGAAAAGGTTTCAGAATCAACAAAAACATGAAAAATCAACCGAGAATCCACACACATAACTATATATATATATATAACGAAACGGAAACTTGACAAAAAGTGCAAAAAAGCAGAAGAAAAGCAACGGAAAAACGAAGGAACAGTTGAGGAACAGTCGGGGAAAAGTCAAGGCGCTACTTTTCCGCTGCTGTTCCGCTACTGTTCCTCTACTTTCCCTTTGCTTGTCCTCTGCGTAAATTTTCCTTTTGGTTTTGTCTATTTGTGGACTTTACGTTGATTTTTCATGTTTTTGTTGATTCTGTCAGATTTTGATTGTTTTTACATGTTTTTGTTGTTTTTCATTGTTTTCGATTGATTTCCAACAGTTTTAACAAACTTCGATTGATTTTTCATTCTTTTCCTGGATGTTGATCGATTTTTGTTGTTTTTGATAGATTCAAATTGTTTTGAACATGACAGAGGTAGGTGTGGCTGGGACAGAGTGTGGAGGGTGGTGGTTTGAATCAATTCCTATCTAGTCCCATTCTGCCAGCATGAGCAGGGCCAAAACCTTGCCCGGAGTGAAGTTAGTAGCCGGAGCCCACAGAGTTCAACTACTATGTTCAACAACGCTGGTGTATGTATAGTCATCCTGGAGTAGGTCGAATGGAAAATCAACGACCAATGGATAGCTGATCATGTTTTTGGATTGGTTCATGTTCTATCTACTCGAGGATGTTTGTAGACATATGTAGACTATCAATTGATCAACAACGTCTCTGGAGGGCCTGGAGATGTAAAGCCAGGTTAGTGATCCTTTTGTTGGGGGATATTGCAAGACCCGAACAAATGGGTACAATTACAGGAAAGCGAGAGAGGAGAGGCTGCTTTGCAACATGTCAATCTCATGGTGGATGGCTTCTCGCAATCATATTTCCATATGTCTGTTGGTGGTCTCACGCAGGGTGGCTTTTGTACCAGACTTGAGGACCCAGACAGTTTTTGGAGCAACTTTAACGTTTTGGGTTCTGAACTCTTTCCTTCGGAGATGCACTGAAGAAGACAATGCAAACCACGTGGTTTGGGGCCGAAGGTGTGCGGGTCGACCGGCTTGGCGGCAACAGTCATGCAGGGTATCCTTTCAGGTGAAAACCCCTGACTTGAAGGCATTCAGATCACCGAGCCCAAGTTTGACGATACCCACAAAACAGGAGCCGGCTTCCCCAAAACACAAACGCCAGCGGCAACCCGGAGACCTTCGCAGAACTTTGCGGCAGGCATTTTTCACTCACCACACACCCTCCCTTTTTCCTTCATCCATCCATCCATCCATCCCAGACAGACAGACAGACGGACGGACGGACAGACAGACAGACATACATACTCACATACTCACATACTCTGACGCCTATACGGTTCTAAGAGCTCGTGGTTTTCTGGGCGACTTCATTCACCTTCCCCTCCATGTGAAAGGCGCAGCTGCCTTTGACTCGTGCGCCTCATGGCTCGCGGCTTTCATGAACCCAGAAAATCGCACATTTCACTAGCCTGGATTCAGTACGGTTTCCGTGCCAGTGGGCGGCTTTAATCCTTCTGTGGTACACTTGCCAGGGGAAAGGCTGCAATCAAGCTACTCCCTCTTCAGTTTCCTCCCTCACGCGGCTTCCCTGCCACCAGTGGCCTTCTGTGGCACACTTCCCAGATAAAAGGCTGCAGTCAAATCAGTTTCCTCCCTCATAGGGCTTCCCTGCCACCAGTGGGTGGCTTTAGTCCTTCTGTGGTACACTTCCCAGGGGAAAGGCTGAAATCAAGCCACTTCCTTTTCAATTTCCTCGCTCGTACGGTTTCCGTGCCACCAGTGGGCGGCTTTAATCCTTCTGCGGTACACTCCCCACAGGAAAGGCTGCAATCAAGCTACTCCCTCTTCAGTTTCCTCCCTCACACGGCTTCCCTGCCACCAGTGGGTGGCTTTAATCTTTCTGTGGTACACTTCCCAGGGGAAACGCTTCCATTTCATTGGCCCAGGGTGAAGGCTGCAATCAAACCAGGTCCTTTTCAGTTTTGGTCCTCATATACGCTTCCTTGCCACTTCTCGATGGGAAAATGAGTTTCAACTTGGGCACGCTGCCTGGCCAAAAAGGCGAAGTCCAAGTACATCCTCCTCCCTCGCGGCTTCCCTGCAAGCAATTGCCCGGAAAAGGAGCTTTAAATTCTTCTGTGGCACATGGGCGAAAAGTCAAACTAAGTCACGGTACTTCTTCTCCAGTTTCCTCCTCCCATGGCACCCCTGCCACCAGTTCACAGGGCGCAGGGTTGTAATAAGGGTCTCTTGCTGGCCTTTCCTGCCCTGGCACACTGCCTGACAGGCGCAAGACATTCTGTCTCCAGCTCCCTTTCCTTTGTGGTTTCTTACTCACAGTGGCCGGGTCAATATAGGAAAAAAGCAAAATCAACACGTACTGCCTTCCAAGTACCGCCTTGGCGGTCTTGGCGCGCAAAGTTGCATTGTCGCCTTCGCTCTCATGCTCTGTTCCCCACTCACAATGTGGGGCAACGGATCATGTGGGAGCAATGGTGCAGCACGCAGTGCTCTGCGCACACTTCTCCTGAAGAGGTTGACTCCTCAAATTGTCTGCTCGGAGAGCACCTCATCCAGGTGCAATCCGGAAGGTGAAGTGGCACTGGCGACCAAGCACCTCCAAGATCACAAGTTCAGAACCAAAGACAGTACCCAGATCATTGACCGTTCCTGGCGCTTCCTCAAAGAAAGGATCCATTTTTTCTCAACGGTGCCGGGTCAGGAGTGGTGAATCCGCAGGACTCAGTATGAGTATACTGGCGCAGGGAGTGGCACAGGAACTCTGGTCTGTCGATTGCGTCTGACACTTTGTGTTTGTCACTTTGCTAACTAAATGGGATGTGTGTGTGTGCGCGTTAAAAGCAATCAAAAGTTTGCGCCCAGAAAATTCCTGCCAATGCTCATCCCCTCCGTAGATAGTCCTTGCAATATTATCATCTGGAAATTGCATTTGTATACGCGCTGCATCCTCTCGTGGAACAGTTTTCTCTCTGGCGCGCAACAGGATTGCACCACAACCTTCCACACCGGTAGGCCTGGGGGAGATACTTCCATACATACATACACACACAGAGACAGACAGACATACATACATCCAGACCTATGTACATACATACGTACGTACATACAGACACACACATACATACATACATACATACATACATACATACATACATACATACATACACACATACACACATACATACAGACACACACACACACACACCGAAAGCTACAACCAACATACTGAAATCTTTCTAGCATGTGGCTGCGCTGGGAGTTTGTTCAAAGCCAAGTGACTTGGGTGTTTCCAAAATCGACACCACGGACATAAAGGACTGTCAATGTTTGGGCTCCTGCAGAGTCAAAGATTTGGAGTTTGTCACACTTTGTTTCAACTTACGGATTTGTAGGGACATGTAGGAAGACATATTGTAGGCATGTGCTCATTGTTCAAACGAACTTTCTTTCACGGATGGAAGACTGACTAGACGTCCGGACGTCAACATGTCCTGGTCGCAGTCGCAGTGAGGACCACTACATCGGCACTTTTGCTGGAATGAATGGTCCCCCGTGGCTGGGTCGGATGTGAACCTGGGGGCGGGGATGGGGTGGGTCATGAAAATCAAAAGACAGACAAAACCATCATGGGAACGCCCTCCGTGAACTGAGATCTCCCAAACTATTTGCCTTTGCGCCCGTACCTGTGAGCCCGTGCTTCCCTGTGCGTGCTTTGTACACGAGAAAATCAACATGTTTGCTTCAGTTACTGTGTTCGTTTGTGGTTTATGATTCATTGAGTCACCAAAACATTCATGTCGAGGGATCAACCAAACCCCAGCCAAACATTGCTTAAATCTACTCGCAGAGGAACTACAACTAGTTGACCCTCTCTCTCTCTCTGTGCTGCTGCTGCTGCTGCTGCTGCTGGTCCTCCCCCTCCTCGTTTGTTGGCTTCAAGACGGTGGAACCCTAGAGGACGGTGATTTTTTTGCTCGCCATTGAGGCCCTGTTGCTTCTTGGTCAGGTGGTGGATTCCACTGGTGACCTGACCGACATGGCCCATCTGCCCCAAGGTGCTACAGACGCGCATACGCCACAAGCGGATCGATCGCTTTGCCAGCACCAGTTCCTTCTGATGCCGTTGACGGTTTGATCGGTGGAAGATGTATACATAGAACTTCAAAACTTGGGACTCAGTTCCTACAGACTCCAAGTCTGAAACAAACCCTTTTCAGATATGTTCAGTGGGATTGCGAGGATCTCCAGATGCATTTTTCGATCAATGCATGTCCCATACGCGACGCTGAACACACACGAACCCCCTTACCGGTGCAGTTTCACCTTTGGACCCGGGAGCGGTTAAGCCGCGTGGCCCGAGTTCTGGTCCAAAAAGGAGTGGCCGCGTGGCCCGAGTCGAGACTTCATTTCTTTTGGGACCTGGGGACAGCGGACACCGAAGATTGAGCTTGGGTCAGAGGTTGGTCAAAGGCTCATACACACCAATTGTTCCCACATCGTCCCGAAAATCATAGTAGCCCCCATTTGGGACTGTGGCCGGTTGATTTGAGGTGCCCAGACATGGACCACAAAAGCTCCCCAGTGTGTGAGGGAGTCAAACTGGTCAAGAATCTGTACATGAGATTCATGTTATTCTGCTGGGGATTCAAACATGCAGCTCTGATGGCAGTTGTCCCACATGTTTTCCTTGGGGTTATATGATTTGGTTGTGCCGAGGTCTTCAACACAGCTTGCAAGCACCTGACATTTGCACGTACCTTCATGTGTAGACTTTTCACAACACGAGACTAGACCTGACGCTGGCCAAAGCCGGATGTCCCGCAGTCAGAATGAGATCAAACGCCCGGCGGGCCTCCGCCATCGGGGCCCAAGAGAATGGCTGGACACTGAGAGGGAAGGCTTTTGAAGCTACTGGAGTAACAAAGGGCATCGCTACGAACGGAGCGATTGGACGCTACGCACGTAGCTCCTGGAACCGCTACTAGGAACAAGGGCATCGCTACTAGTAACTCAGTTGGGCCAGCCTCTGTACATTTGTGGTGATGCTCCGAGTAGATCCAGCCGCATGTTGAAATCTGAATGTTCAACCCTTCCCACCCCTTTGATTCACTAGAAACAGCTGAGGCAGCTGAGTTGAAGTGGGGTGGCTCAGCCATTCCAGACGAAGACGCCTGCAAGTCGGAAGTCGAATCATCGCATCGACCGCTTGGTCTGCGCGGAACCCGCGCGGAACGTCCCCCCGACCACAGTCCGACCAAGCTACCGCTTACGGACAGAAGTGCCCAAGAACGGAGCAGCACGGAGTGTGACTCGTGACCAAAGTGTTGAACCAAGACGTGCCGTCTCATCAGGTTTCTTCATTGAGCACGGAGGATCACGCATAGGGCTTGAGTGTCAGGAAAACTCCAAACACTGACATTAGTAAGATGAGCGTTAGTAAGGTGCAGGGTTCGATGATGTTCCATACGATTTGATGTTCCATTGGTCCATGACTGTTCCAATTACAGTCCCTGAAACAATCATGGAAGTGGAACAGTTTTGCCCCTGGAAGGCCACAGGTTCCAAACAGGTTTCTTACAGCTTCCATGCTTGGAGGGGTTGGAGAGGTTGGAGGCCTTCGCAGGCCTTCGCGGCCATTGCTACAGTCCAACTTTCAGACCTCAACCACATGCCATCCAAGTACTTTAGACAGGCAAAGCATGGCAAAGCACTTGAGTTCTCTTTCTTTCTTTGTTCACGTCCGCCTGGCGCCCAGCGAACTCTCCCAGGACCTGGGATGGCTCCCTGGATGAGGAGAAGGGGCGACGTGCCGGGGGCACCTGGGAGTCACTCGAGTCGTTGGGTGAGTCGTCGGGTGAGTCGCCTGGCAAAGCGAACAGAAACAGCGTTGGAGAGTCGTTGGTTTTGGTCATATATATGTTGTTGATGAAGAACACACGCGGTCAAACAAAGTTCATATTGTGGCTGACTGGTGGCTCAAATGAATGGTTGTGTCATATGTTGTTTACAGTTTTTGGATGACTTGGATCTGTATCACAGCTGTTTTCGTTGAGCTGGGTGTCCAAGGTTGTGATGCATTGCAAATCAAACAACTGCACGGCTCAAATTTCTCTTCGAGCTAGTAACGCTAGTAAGATGCGAGGAAAAGACTCGGGAAGAGAAAGACTTGGGGAAAGTGTGCTATACAATGGACGCCGCCCTACGCACGGTTCAGGAAAGCTATCCCATCACAAAAAATATCATAAACGTTATTAATAAATAGCAAAGATCCTTTGTTTCTTGGTGGTCGTGCTGAGATAACTAAATGACATACAATAGAATGAGATAATTCAAACCAATATATATTCTATATCAAAATCTCTGAGCTCCTAAAATATTTATATAGTTCAGAAAGACAAAGAAGATCAAGCCGTCCGCTAAGAAGACGACGCGTCCCAGTAGCAGGTTAGCAGGTGAGGTAATCATCTGGACTGGTAGACACAGTTGAGGAAAACCAAAAAAGAGGCCCCTGAACTTGAGAACAACAGTATGTCAAATAATATCCAACATAAGGCTTTACACAAGGGAGAATCCCTTTACAAGCTACTTCGAGTCCTCTGTAGACTTGAGGGCTTTTGTTGGGTTCGCTTAGTAGGGATGGACCAACTTGGGCGATTGATTGGACTGAGAGAATCAATCCATGAGACACGGTCGAGATTCAGATTCGGGGTCCCGAGTGGGCAAACGAACGAGTAAGACATGTGGATTTGGGTCTGTCCCCTACATGGAATCCATATGTCTTAGGGGATTTGTCCTCCAAAAAGGGCAATCGTCTAAAGCTCCTGCGAAATGGACACGATTGTCCGGTCACGCGTTGCTGGGAAGATCACGGTGCCACTGTGGGGAAAAAGAACTATAGTAACTATTTTGGGTTTCACTTAGCATCGGCCTCAGACTGGAAAAAAGAAGAGAATACGGCTCACCACCGAGAAGGATCAGCTACTACTTCTACCTCCTACACCACATTGCTGCTTTTGCTACGTGTTATTTTCGCGGACCGAGGCCCTTCTTGGAGCTCACTTGCTGCCCAACAGGCCACAGTTGATGTGTTTTTGGGCAGTGGTGAGATGTGGCCCCTTACGGTGAGAGAAATTGGATATATATATATATATTATGTATATATACGTATATATAATTATCATGGTGTGTCATGTCCAAGCTCAATTGTTGAGAAGATCTCACGTAATTTTCATGAAGCATACATGCAAGGCAGCGTCCACCATGCATGAATACTGAACCCACCCTGCTTGAAAACAAAAGCGTCCACCCTTTGAATTCATGATTTGCTGAAGCTGTGTCAGCCGATGCCTGGGATGAAGTTATGCACGAATTCATGACTCTCATGACCCTTTTCCACTCCACTTGAGACCAGCACACTTTCTACATCCTGCAGTAGCAGAGAATCTTCGGGCATCATCGAGCATCGTCTTGGTGCGCCCAGGTACAATAAGGTTTGCACCATGGGCCCAGGGCAGGCCCTAATGTGGGGCATTTCGGCAAAGCCCATCAACACCCTGCAGTTTGGTTCAGACCTCAGTCCCAGTGTGGCCATGTGGGGCCATCGCGCCACCTGCCACTGTGGTCCTTGGTTGGCAGTTCTTGGCACTTCGTTCAGACGGGTGACTTGGGTGGCCAGAAAAAGGCGGACCGCCACATGTGTTCTTCTTTGGGCCAGACTGGCCGCTTCATGCCGTTTCTGCTTCCTTTGACACCGTCCTCACCGTCCTCTTCGTCCACCTTCGTCCACCTTCGTCGACTCGTGAGCTGTGCGGAGCTGAGGTCCCGATTGTCCGGAAGATTCCCGGCATCGCGTCTTGATCACCAAGACCACGCCACCCGTCCTCTTGCTGGAGACACCGGTGTTTGGTTTGTACATGTTTGTACCACGTGGAAACCCTCACCCAAATGGAAGTTGGACACTTCTTCGCACAGGAACACATGTGTTGTTGCCTATACTGCCAGTGCTTGCGCGGGTGGTTCTTGATCCCGTATTTCTCCCGTGTTTTTAACATGGTGTTTGTTGGGAAACAATGGGCAAACCTAGATTCCTCGTCCATTGTCAACACAAGTTTCAATTGCCCAAAGTACGGAGGAGCTCAATGCCGTCGCGACCTTCAATATGTCTTTCTGGCATCTTTGTCATTCTTTGTTTGGCTGGAGTTAGTGGCCCTCGGAACATGGTTTGGTAATTGAGGGGGTTCACGTGAAGACTAGGTCCTAATTGGATCTAATTCGTGGTTTTGGGGGAGTGACTCAGGGCGGCTGGGCGCTTGGTTTGACTCGCGCGAGCACGGTGTGACTCGCGCGAGTGCGGTGTTTTGACGTTTTTGAAGGGATCCTTTTGACACAAAGTGAGCACGACTCTTTATCAAGGAAATCCTGACTCGGTTGACCCTACAATCTCAGGAGTTTTCACAGGGCTGTGTTGCAAAGGTCCTTCTTGAGTCCTTCTGTACCTTGCCAAGCGAATCGCTCTCTCAACAAAAGTGGGAGCGGAAGCAGTAAAAGTAATGAATACATTCTATATAGAATATTTTAATATATTATATGTTCAATTATATGATGTATGAAGAGGATCAAGGCTTAACAATGACACTTGATAGACATGATACTGTAGACTATTGTAGACCATAAGACTATATGCATGTATATTAATGTAGAATATCGTGGAATTATATATATATATATAGACATTTGGATTTTGTTTCTGCTGCATGCTATATAAAGTGCTTCATCTACTCCGCTTCCCCCGTCTTGCCGGTCATTGGTCATCTCACGGTTCTCTGTGCGTTACGCATTCCAATAGGGCCCCCCACATCCATAAACACTTCCTAACAACAATAGGAACACCTGGTGTGGGGGAGCCGCTGTCCACCCGCCACACCTCCATGTCGTTCCCCGGATCACAGAATGCATCGACCGAACGAAGAACGTGCGTTCGTCTTAAGTTCGAGTCTTCACCGAGAAGCAACTTATGCCAGGATGGATGCAGACACCTCCCAAGATATCTTGTATGGGATGGATGCGGTGTGTAGCTCAGGTGGATGGTGGAAGTAGAGGGAGCAGCGCCTGGGACCAGCATGGAGACTAGCTGAGAAGGTGTCGATCTGGTGAGTTGTGATTTTGGTCCAGTTGCTAACTGCCTATATAGTTATATATTAGATGCTGTTATTAGTAGATGTTCTTAGTTACCAATTACCCATCCCACACGGTCAAAGATGGGGAATTTGGATTGGACTTTCCGGACCTTCTCGAAAGCATCGTCCAATCGCACTCGACTCCGAGGTCCTACAGCTCTTGAAAAGTCCGAAGCCAGGGCCCTCATGCGGTGCGTCCGAAGCGTTGCCGCCTGGGATGCGCTGGCCTGTGCGCATCCGATGATTTCAGTCACAGCAGATCCCAACAAATGCCAGCGTGGTCAACTTTGGGAAGTCTCTCACTTGCTTCTCCAGAAAAAAGAAGCAACATGCAGTGCCACACTGCCACACTGCGTGGTGTAAACCAGCAGACCGGGGGCCAATGGACCGCAAAACCGCCCGGTTCCCGCGGTTCCACTGGTTCACGCGTGTCTTCAGGACGGTGAACAAGCCCTTGGCCTATGTCATTCAAGGATCTGGTCCACACTTCTGTCCAGGCGCATCGGGGTTCCTGCCCGCCTTGCACATCGCTGGAGAAGATGTCGAATGATGATCCATCAGATGTCAAGGAGATCAGATGAACGAAAATAGCTCCTTTTTCGGGGAGGGATGCACGTGATTTTGGACATTTTAGGGGCAACAGTTCTGTTCTTGACTTTCGCTAGGGTGAGAAAAAGGCGGATCTCCGGGCCTTTCACAAAGATCACCAAAGCCTCGGTGTTCAATGGCTGATCCCCAGCCTTTTGGCCGTCGAGGTGGAAATCCCAACCCGAAGCTGTACCCGGGACACATCGCATTGACGGTGAACCAGCTGCTGGGCTGCGAGTGGACATGCGTTGCCCATGGGCTTCATTGACAGCGGATAAATCTATAGGTGACACGGTGACATGCACCGGAGGTCAACAGAAGAAAACCGTTGTGAGCTCTGAAAGCAAGGGAGCTTTTTGAACTCACCTACAACATCCTGTCTTGAATTACGTACTCCATCACAGATTGGAATTCAGTTGGATGCATCCTCAAGCCAACCTGGTCTTTTGGTCCACAAAAGCTATGGGTAATGACACAACATGGTGCTTTTTTGGGATCAGCTGTCACTTGTGTCGTTTTCCATCCGCTTGGTCCTCCAAGGTATGCTGGCTACTTACCCTTCATTCGATGTCGAGAGTCGGGCGCTCAGCCCAGCACAACGCGGGCGATGTTGATGTCGATTTCCACGGTGAAACGTCAATCACACTGGAGCCACGAAAGTGGCGTAGATCAGGACCGTCCAGCCAGCGAAAAAGAACATGGCATACATCATCATAAATCAGGACCTTGCTTGCAAGTTTTAAGAACCAATTTTTTTGGGGGAAACGCAGCTTGATTCATGCTTCAGACCTGGGATGTTTTACTCTCCATCGCACCACCACCAAATGTTTTGGTTCACTCTTGCTCTGACCTCGCTTTTCCTTACAATGCAAACAATGGCCACAGAGTCAAAAAGAACATGAACAACACTATATATGCACACATACATAATATATATATATATATAATGCTTAACACAGTGATACGAGTTTCTCGAACACCTGGTCGCCCGGTTTGAGCGCTTTACGGTGACGTGACCCTTCGATCCGCACCGCCGCGACAGGATCGCGCTCCCGGGGATTTGTGCCTTGCACGGTGTGGTGCTCAGAGCTGTGCCGTTGAGTCTCAAAGAGGTTGAGTCAAAGAGCTGGGGATTTGGGTCACCACATTCAGAGTGATGATTGATCCATTGATCTCCATTGATCTGTTCATTTCGGGTGGTCCCACTGCCACCTTGGGATCGACCCTGCAGTCGTTAGGTGACTTTGTTCGTGAACTTGGGCTGTTTTCTTGGTTGTGGCAGTGTGTTCCCTTACCAATTATACCCATTTATTTTCAATTAGTCTTGTGAAGCACACCATGTTCCCATTTTCTGTCACGTTCAATTCGTCCATGAACTCCGAACCTATTGTTGAATAGCATGGGAGCGCGTGAGGGTGACATGACGAAGAACGCTGCAAAGATGCAGAGTCTTGCCAGGAATGTTCACCTATGATACAGATCTTTTTTCGGACAAGTGGAAAGTGACACAGAGTTCCACCCAAAAGTGACACTTGTATTCTCGAGAGTTGAACCATGTCAGGGGGCTGCTGCGATCTGCAGAGCCAAAGAAATACCGGTACATCTCCTCACCGCCCCTGTTTACTCCCACCCCTGGGTTCTGGAGGCTTCGGCTTGGACTCGACTCCGGACTCACCCGAAGCTGAGGCTCTATGGTGGGAGGCGGAGTCGCCTACTCTCTGAACAACCCCGTTCGATTCGCGGACAGCAAGGTCCGGGCGCCCGACCTGGCGGCGTATTTTCACGTCCGGTGACTTCTTTGTGAAACGGAGGGTTCCGTTTGGAATTCTGCTTGGGGGATTATGCCAAACTGGAATCTTTCCCTTGGACACGGCCTTCCAAGTGCGTGTCCAATGCCACAAGCCGCTTTGATTCAGCTAGAAGAGAAGCATTTCTTTTATTTTCTTTTAAATTAAAGCTGTTTCAGGTGTTAGTAATTAGTCACAGTACCCTCTCCAGAAAAGCATAACAATCGTATAGGCCACATGGGAAGAACACTATGTTCTCCATTTGTGAGTTGCTTTGTTAATTTGGGTGAGGATATTTCAGTGCACATTCTGTATATTTATTTACAGTTTTTTGACCTGTAATGCAAAGGATGTACTGTGTGCAATGCTTCGCGTCCACCGCAGGCCTCTGCATGCTTCGGCAACTTGAGCATCCGCCTCAGATGCGCCTACGCAACCAAGCAAGACAAAGCCTACGTAACCAGCAATCAGCGTACTCATTGATTGAAATCTGTTCTTTTACAGATAGAATGAAAAACCAGGGTCTACAGCATTGATCTATTGATCTATTGGACATCGATTCTTGACTTGTCCGGCTCGGGTGCGGCGGCTCCCGCCGCTCCGCTGAGCACATGCTGAGCCTTGCCCCCCGAGGTCGTGGAGCTGTTCCTGGAATGGTGCTCTCATCCAACATCCCACAGGTTCGCGGCGCGTGCTCGCTCGGCGCCTGGGGAGACATGGTGTTTGGGAGCGCTCGTGGTGGGGAGTCGCGCCTGGTTTGGGAGCACCCCGTTGTTCGGCGTTGGTCGTTGGACCATGGGTCCGAAGCTGGGTGCCTTTTGGGGGAGTCAAAATGGGATCAATCCTTTCTAGCGATTTCAGTGGTGAATCTATATATAATTCTGAATTCTTTGCGACCGCACAGTCCATTTTTCTCCAGGGCGTGACACATTTCACCGTTCTTTTTCTTTCATTGGATGTTTGGAAAGAACATTTAGAGTCCAGATAAGGTGATGCTTGTTCTGATGCTTGTTGATGCTTGTTCTAATGGATGTTTGTTGATGCTGACTTCATTAACAAACTTGTGGACAGCTCAAGGGTAGACCCGCCAAGGCGCGCGGCGCACCACTGGATTTTGAGCGTTGAACACCTGCTCAAATGCCCTGTCTCTTTTCCCCAGTCTTCGTCGTGTTACATATCGGGTGACTGGTGGGCACTCCCAAGTGCAGCGGATCCGCAAGATCCGCAAGATCCGACGTCCCGTCCGACGTTTCACGAAGAGAACGCAGCTGTGTGTCCTACGTCTTTTCAGTGCCAGGCCTTGGGATTGCAGGGTGCTTTGGACATTTACCTCACGGACAGCACCTATTCGACCTATGCCTGTGTGAAAGCTGGGTATCTCCATGGAGTCCAGGCGGGGGTAGAAACCGCGCCTCGGTTTCTGTCCGTTTCGGGGACGCAGGAGGCAGGAGTTGGAGGAACCAAGACAGGTTAAGTGAGCGTAAATAGGACCCTACAGGGGTACTTATGGGATAGTCTATAAGGTCCTTCAACCTCTGTTGGAAGATCTCAGGTGGTCCCATGTGATCTCCAAATGAAGCCCGATTCATTGAGCAGGACTCCGAGTCACAAACCGCTGCATGAACCTTTCGCTCGAATTCGTCACATCAGACCTGAATCACTGAACCCTGACCGCGCGCGAGGGGGAGAGGCGATCGGCGCGGAAAGGAAGTCCTGACTCTGAAAATCCGTCCCTCTTCACCGCACCAAAAAAACGCCTCGGCTCTGAAGACATGTCTTCACCCGTCCGCCGTGACCGCCCGGTTCCGTGAACCGGCCAGTCCAGCATCTCGGGCGTGAAGCAGGAAGCACTGAAGCAGGCGGGGCTTCGCTCACCCCCGGCGTTTTCGTCCGGAAGGCGCAGAGACGAAGAGATTTGTTAAATCATCCCCACCCCCTTAACCATTGTTTTGAGGGGGCCTGAAAAATGTAACTTCCAATTCCCCCCCCCCTGCTAAGGGGTAGGGATGTTAAATCCATTTCTTCTGGCCCAATTGTGGGCCTATATTTTGCTTGTTGAAGAACAGACGTCGATTGCTTCGGCCTCCCTTGGCAGTATGATGCAGTATGATTGAACCCTCAAGGTGATGCCCAGTGTGATGCCCATCAACGTGATCGAGATGTTTTGTGACAACTGTTCTATGGTTTGACATGCTTGACATGTACTTGTAGCTGTATGATTCGTTTGATGCTGTATGAGCACTTTCCGGAGATTCTGGACCATGTTGGACCTTCAGTTCGATCAGACATGGTCAGACCTTCCGATTTTAGAACGGATCCTTTTGGAGTTGGGACATGCTCTTTGACTGTGAATGGACCTCTTTTCCATCGCCATTAAGTTGGAATTGGAGGATTTGGAGGCCATCGCTATTAGGTTGGGGGGTGGCCTTTAAACAAGAAGTACTTCTTTCGAGACATCATCTCTCTCGACCTAAACCCCCCGGAATCGCGGTGTCGTGGTCCGCCGCAAAACCTCGCGGTTGGGTCCAGGCACGGCGCCTGGGACAGTCTCCGCTGGGCATGCGAATTGTAGGTGGGAGAAACGTCGGAAGAGCCTTGACTTGAGTGAGGTCCGTGGTGGTGAGCTCATGTGGGCTCAATACCTTCGGAAAAGAGCCTTTTTGGGGGGACTCAGACACTCATAGGACAATCTAGGACATGTAACAAGACCACGACTTTCCCATTAGCCATCTCCATTTCTCAATGAACTGTCAATGACCATCGACTTTCCCTGCCAACTTTTTGACATGGGTGACATGGGCTCTTCAGCAGGTTTGTCGTTTACTAGGAGACCCCCAAGCAATAATGCCTGTGAAGTACCTCCCACAAAGAGAGCGCACCTGGTCGCCTGGTAACGCCTCATTTGAGAGTAGACACATAATGCAAACACATGGTTGACTCATCGTTCTCCTCCAACCTTTCAATCTTCCGCCTGCATCATGCTGTTCTCCTCCAACCTCCAATTGTTCCAAAAAGTCTATCCTCCAACAGTTTCCTCACATCTTTAGAACCCAAATTCGAACCTGCAGGGAAACCTCATGAAACCTCCATTCTCCAGAAAGTGTGGTTTGCATGCACGAGTTTCTCATTTTACTATTCAACCCATCCATCCAAGCCATCATGTTCTTTCCTCCCATCCAACATCATCCAAGTCAGATGCGATGTCGCCAGCTGGCAGGCATCAAGCCTGAGTTGGACGTGGAGCGCTTCGGCCTTGAAGCCTGGGCCATTGACCTGGGTGCCCGAACGGAAGGCGTCTTCCGGTGCCTTGGGCGGCGGTTTCGGGGAGTGGACGTCTTCCGGAGTGGGAGTGGTGGGTCCATTCGTTTGGAGGAGTCATCTCTTTGAAGTCAAGTGAGGAATGTGGATAGATGATTGGAGGGACAGGCTTTGGAACGTATTTCTTCCAACTCAAGGTGATGCTTTTTTTTTTGAGGACTCACACATGACCAATAGCGACATGAGGGGAATTTCTTTGTTTTCCCAGAGAGTCCTCGACTATAAAAAGAATAGTCTTTGCAAAGGACTATACTTTTGATATCGTGTCACTCTTGTCACCATGGCAGCCGCAGAAGAGGTGGCCCAATCATGAGGAATGATCCAAAGAGTCCGTTGAAAGACTTGATCATTGGTTTTAGACATTTTTCGATCATTCGCATGAAGTCACCTTGAAGTGCAAAGAGCTATCTCTATAGATCTATAGATCTACATGTTTATCAAATATCCACCACAGCGCTAGTGCGCAGGCTAGCTAAACCAGCTAGCTTCGTGAAAGCAATGGTGATGCATGAAGCGAGCATTGCTTCGTGGTTGGCTTCTCAGTCAGTCAATGTTGGCCATTGGTGAAAAATGGCAAAAATAATTTCAGGTCTCTGAGTCACCTGCACCAGGCCATGAATGGGGCGACTATGAAGACTTGGGACCTGCCAGTCCTTCGTCAAGCATCGACTCAGGTGGGGTTTCGGATATCATACTAGTACTATATTATTCCACTGTGCATGCACCGATCGAGTTCTTCATCTTCATGAAAACCTTGTTTTTTACTTTTTTTACATTCGAGGACTCTCTGGGCGCTTGTTTGAGCATACTTTCCTGACCCTGAGCTGCCCCATCTGCAGCAGCATTTTTGTCCGGTTCCCGCGCGGGCTGGGACCACGATGGCCTCAGAACGCGTGAAGCTTTTGAAGGCTGGACAATGCATGCATGGATCGATGGTTGACTATATTGGGTTCTAGATTCTATATCGATACGATAGTCGATACGATATGTGCATGTATGTGACATCGCCCTTCGTTTAATCTAATTAACCTTGGGCCTGGATCTGTACGACCTTTCGATCCATTCCCGGCTGATCAGGCCTTCTACGAGGACTATGTCACACCCGACTTTGTCAAGAAGCGCAAGCGCGAGATCAAATCCAGGAGGATGACCAACCGGAACCCTGCCCTCCTGACATGTTGATTAACTTCAGACAGGGGGCAGGTCAATTGTTGCGCATTCACGATCACTAGCTCGATCAACAGCAGCAGTAGATCGACCATGGATCCATCCTGTGCAACAGGTCTTCAGCATTGTCGAGGTGGAGGCCAAACACATATCTGAAGTCGAGGCGAGATCGGGTTCCCAGGTCCAACTTCGGAGCGCTTACCAAAAAATGATGACAACGATCATGTGGTTCGTGTGAATTACAATGAATTCATTAATATGGAGGCGGAGCGCAACACCAACTTTAACTTCACCGCAGCTTATCTGGCACACTTTGTTGGTGACCTTCCACTGCAAAAGGAAGTCGAGGCTGGCCTTGCTTCTACCAAAATTTGCTGAGTGCTGAGTGACATTCTTCCTAGCCTGCATAGATTGAAACTATATTCTGCGCTAGGAGGTTCTTTGTGAGATGTCCATCACCCAGCAGTGGAACCGGTTTGAACACAAGAGTCAACATCAGGCACAATTGAGTTACGAGTTCAGAGACTGTCTAAGTGTTTTTTTAATTCTTCTGACCCTGATCCGATTCCAGGCCTGGGCAAGCATTGAGGCTGGATTACATCGCGCCTTGGCCAGCTACATCACCAACCGGTTCAATCGAACGCAGAAATCGAGGTGGGATCCTGGCTTTAGACTTGTCAAAGAATAAAAACACATGCATGCAAAGGTGTGATAGGAACAACAATTGATTCTTCCGGAGGAAGTCGCACCCCCGCATGGAGACACTCAAATCTCTGGTTCGGGTCAAGCTGGAGGACACAGTTTGGTAGTGTGTGATCATCAAAATATAGATCGATGGTTCAGCTCGCATTTTCTGGAGACCTTGGTTTCAATGCGTGCATGGCCATTGCTTGCCCCAGGAGCTTGGCCTTCTTACAGAGAAAGGTCGCAAGGTTGCTACCCGAGGACGTTCCACGGCGCCCAAGGCATCCAAGGCCAGGGATTGAAAAACAACAATCAACACGATTACTTAATCAATAAATATCATGTTAACATGTTAGTTGGAAGTGTGTAAAAATCATTGATGTCAGCCTCAAAAAAATGGAGTATATTATACTGCAACTGCCCAGGAGACTGGTTCGGCGCCGGGTGTGACTGCTTCACCAGCACCGGCGCCACCGGTGCCGGAGGAGCCTGATTCACAAATGCCGGTGTCCCCTTTTGAAGCACCGGCGGCACCTGTTGAAGTGGGTGGTGGAAAGCAGTCAACACACAGGGGTGAGGAGGGTGCAGAGGAAGAGGCCTTATCTGATGATGACTGTATCGAACCTGTAGAGATTCATGAGGATCCCACAATGGAGGTTCCCGAGGTTCCCGCTGAACATCCGGCCGCACCAGTGCAGTCCAGTGGCGGACCAGCTGTCGTTCTGGAGAGCGACCCGGAGCAAAACGAAAAGGGTGATGTTGTTGGCACCTTCAAGGACCGCCGCAATTGGCTGCATGCAACTTCACTATTAATAACGTTTCACTCTGAAATGTCGAGGGCACGCTTTCTTTACATGATCATTGGTGGTGCCTAGCGTGATGTGCCATGCATGTGTGCGGATGTGGACTTACGGTTTGGGGCCGTGTCAGGACACCAAGCCCTTAGCCAAGATTCCAGAAGCACCCAGCAGCTCACTCAGGGATCAGGCTGAGGCAGCATGCTTGAAGCTGGAGAGGGGGATGAGCAGCAACAACATTGATCTGTTGGAGGCTTGTATCATGCATGCACGCATGCATGACAGCTTGATGTATTTTTCAAACCATTTCAAATCAGATCGGATCCACAGTACTACATAATAGTATTAAATCTAAATTGCTTCATGCAGGCCCAAAAGGTTTTACGAAAGACTTTGAGGGACGCTGAAGCAAAATCCGATGAAGAGGAAGAGGACCCTGACCGAAAGCATAAACACGAACACGATGAGGATGAAGAGGCGCCTAAGAAAAGGGCAAGGGGCAGAGGCCAAGGAAGGGGCCGTGGTCGGGGACGTAAGAAGGCTGAGGGCGCGAAAGCCGCTGAGGTGCCTAAGGGTGAGGTGCCTAAGGAAGAGGCGCCTAAGGAAGAGGTGCCTAAGAAAGAGGTGCCTAAGGGTGAGATGCCTAAGGAAGAGGCGCCTAAGGAAGAGGCGCCTGAGGAAGAGGCGCCTGAGGAAGAGGTGCCGAAGGGTGAGGTGCGCAAGGAAGAGAAGGAGGGTGAACCGGCAAAAAGTACAAGAAATTCAAGACTAAGAAAACGAAAGGCGGCCATTGAGCAGAGCCAGGCTGCCAAGCCCGAGCTGCCAAAGACCCGAGCTGCCAAAGAACCGCCCAAAACACCGAAGAGAAAGATCATATCCCCAGCTGTCCGATCGCCAAAGATCACAAAGAGTGCACAGAAGAAAAAATTCCTACAGGACAGTGTGTTGGGTTCGTTGAGTATTTTATTCTAAATGGGTGTGACCATGTACATCACTCCTTCAAGAACACCGTAAAACTCCTGCCTAATTATAACATTGAAAGTTGATGTACGCTCTGGCATGCCTTCTCACATGCGTGATGCGTCCCCACCCAAAACGATGCCACTGCACGCAGGAGAACCTGGCTGCCTTGGAGGCCGAGGCACCACAGATGAAGTACTTCGTCTGGCCCAGCAATGTGAGCGAGCGCAAGTCTGGAGCTTGGCTACGGCAGAAATATGCAACCACCTTGGATGGATGTGCTCATGGCTGAGGAGCTGGACATGCCGAGCACCAAACGATTGTCCCGGATACATGAATTTTCCACGGCTTACGATCGGTGTTTTGTCATCTGCTTAGCACTCATTTGCCAATAGCTAGTACTGAGTACTATTCAAAATAATGTCAACCGCTGAGGCCTGACCGCTACGGGAGCTTCTATGTCTCCACCATTGATGGAGAAGCACACATCATTGATGTTGAGAACAAGTTGAAGCTGACGGCCGGCCGGTTCATTTTCTCATGCTCAGAAACGAGTTATGCTAGCTCTTTGGAAAAAACAATTGATGATAAATTTCATAGCATAATTGCTGCAGCAGGTGTCTAGCTCCGGGGGTGTCTCTATTGCGTGGAAGAAGAACGGTGGTCCGGCAAAAGCGTGCAAAACTTATCCCAGTTGAGATAGCTAGATGTGTGATCTGATGTTTCGAAATGCCTGTTCTGCAGTCTATTTAAATCACCTGTAGTGGCCCAAACTGCCCAGGTGGAACCTTGCTATCCAAGCTGCTGCGTGGTGCCCGATCACCGGCCCGTAGCCTTGATTTGAGCTTGCTGAATTTTCCACCGTGGCGGAATGCATGCAGGGAGCTAGTACTTGGATTTGAACATAAATTGATCGAATTAGTTTACATTTACACTTTTCGAGACTGGTCATGTGTATATGAGATTTTATCGTTCCATGCATTGCGTTGGTTGTATAATTCCATGTTGCGCGGTTTTGGCCACCTGCAAACGCCGCATAGCTTACCTTTAGCCAGACCTGCCCAAAATACATTCCTTGAGTCTTGCAAGGTCATGTCAGGTTCGCAGGTGCGCAACGAATCATGCACGCAACTTTGTACACACACACATGCATGCTAGTAGACCGAGATATTTTTTTATTGAGACTGGCCCAAGTATAGCACTTGTGCCCCTTTTTTGGTGCGAGTGACCTCAAGCCATGACGTCAGTGAAGTTTGGTCTTCACGTTGCTCCGGAGCGTGATGACAACTGTTCACCGATTTCATTGACAAGTACTTCTGTGGTTGCTCTCATTACCATGGGATGCCCAATACTCGTGACACTTGCAAAAAATTAGC